TTTGTAAGACCTCGCTACTGTAAATTTGTCCTATCAATAGATGTATATATGTTTTGTCTGTCACATCTCAGGAATAACAGTATTGTAAATTCTTGGGGTGTGACACAAAATGATTGAGAGCCTAGAGAGTTAGAACATTTGGTAAACTATTATAGAGTTAGGTGTCACATGCAAACATCCATCTAAAAAAGGGCACCTAACTAAAGCTATAAAACCAGCTGGTGCAATGAAATCTTAAAAAAAAAAAAAAAAATCGCTTTCAAAATTGAAAAGTTTTTTTTTTTTATATGAAAGATCATCATAGTATAGGCTGCAGATCACTAAAAAATTCGATCCAAATTATGTTTTGAAGATAGATTTGAGATGGGGGACACATTCTCAATAAATAAGTCGATTGACATGTAGAAACTCCTCCAGTAAAATTTTATGCTAAAAAGGGTGAAGTTTATATAAGGCGTCGTCCTTTATAGAAGTAAAGGGCACCTTTAAATGTTGTTTAAAACTTTATCATAGCTTGAAAATCTATTTTACTCCTAGTTATAAAACGTTAAAATTTAAAATAATACAATTGAAGAGATCTATAATAACTTGCAGGATGAAGTTTCTATAAGGCTTAGGTTTTGTGAAAACAAAATAAAGCCTCACATCAAATCAAATCCTAGTTCAGAAAACACTTTTGGCCATGGAAATCTCCATGATAGATATAAAATCAATTTCCAACACTGGCTATAAATATCGAAGCTCAAAAAATCGTACAGATCTTGTGGATCTATGAAAACTTATTTTTAGAGTGTAATGGACAGTCTAAATAATTTGGTATAATGTACGATATTTTTGGAGCTTAAAATTTTAATTTTTTTTCACGACCATAATGTTCAAGCCAAGATGATGAATGTAAATGTTTTTCAATACTTGAATTGTAATACTAAAAGTTTTCCATACTACACACTCTTCTAGACGATTTTGCAATACTAGAAGATTCACGGGTGTGGTTTGCATAAAGTCGCAACATTAAACAATCAAATTAAGACGTACCTCCAAAATTTATCATAACATGTAATTTTGCTATAAAAATCTTAGGATAGCCGAAAAATCTATTTTTATCTCTAATCATAAAATTTTAAACTCGAAAAGTGGTTCAAATCAAGTAGATCTATAAATATATGAAAATCTTGAAATGGACGGTTTAAATAATATATTACAAGATGCACTATTTTTAGGACTCAAATAAATTTTTTTTTTTATATTCATATTTCTCGATGTCGAGATGATTAATGAGAGGACTTTTTAACACCAAAACATCATTTTTCTGATGGATTTTTTGAGGTCCATGAATATCTTAATGTCGAGATGATCAATTAGAGGGATTTTTAACATCAAAACAACATTCTTGACGGATTTTTTAGGTGCGTCTTAATTCTACATTTTAATGTTGCAACATTAAATAAATGTTCCCAAAGATTTAGGATAAATGTTGAAAAACTTTCTAATTGATAATCTCAATAATGAAATGTATGAATATGCAAAAAAAAGAAAAAAGATTTTGAGTCCAAAAACAGTGCATCTTGGAACGTATTAGACCATCCATTTTCAAGATTTTCATATATTTATAGATCTATTTGGTTTTAATTATTTTTTAAATTTAAAATTTTATAATTAGATGTAAAAATAAATTTTGAAATAATACCAAGAACGTTTTACACCAAATTTACGTGTTACGATAAAATATGGAGGTGCGCCTTAATTGGATTGTTTGAGGTGGCAACCTTATATAGAAACGTAGTTTGACTGTAATAAAAGGAGCCCTACCCTAAGTTATTCGGCCCCATTTGAACAGGTGACACGGTTTCGGCACGAAAACGCCGTTCTCGTCGCGCTTTGCGCACCCATTTATTGTCACTCTTCTTCCTCTTTTCTCGTTCTTTCATTGCCTACATTTTCTCTCTCTACTCCTCTCTGCATCATCGACTGCTCTCATCGAGGTAGTTTATAGCCCCTTTCACGAGTTCGCTTTATCTTTCTCTCTACTTAGTTGCATTGTTGATTAGCGTAGCAGTGGTTTTCTCTTTCTTTTTTTCGATGTGACTTTCTCTCTCTTCAAATTAGTGGGCTCCTCTGTCCGCCCTCAAATGTTGCTCTGCTCTCTGCTTATTGAGCGTCTCTCTCTCTATATGAAACATTGTATTCACTCACATTTATTATGGTAGTTTTGTTTTATTTGAATTAATGATGATGATTTTTATTTGTTCACAATTCCAACTATTCCTTCATCCATTTTCATTCTTACTGATACGAAATGTAGTTTCAGGGTTTTAAATGATTCTCACAGGTGTGAGACCCCCAATTCCATCTCTTTTAAGTAGTAATGGCCATGGCAATAAGCTTGCCGTAATTCTCTTACGAACATGCCTGAGAAGGATTCCAGTTACGCGAATCAACTCTCTCAGGTACCCTAAATGCCAGCAAATAAAACCAAGTGTTTTGTTTGTTCAATTCTGGTTTTCTTTCACTGATTATTGGAAATTGGGGGTCTCTAAAACTGGTAGCCAAGTGATTTTCTCCATTTAAGTAGGAGCTTCACCGATTCCTTTTGGCCATGCTATCTGTTATTTTCAACAAATGATGGAATTAACATAATTTCATGGATGATTACAAGAATGGTGTTGTTTATTCCCTAAGTTTGTTGCCCGCCCTTTGTCGTTAACAAGGATCCTTGGTTCGTCACCAGTATTTTAGTTTTGAATTTATCATTTTCTTTTTGCTTATTCTTCTTTGGCATTGTTTAGTTTTCAATATTCCTGAGTGAAATACTGAATATTACCGAAAAAAATATTCCTGAGCTAAATCATTTTGTATCTGTTTCTTAGTTTGCTTATTTTTCTATTTGAATTAGTGATATTCTGGTTCTGAACAAACAATGCCCCCCCTCCCCCCCCAAAAAAAAAAAAAAAAAAGGAAGAGAGAGAAAATTTCAACGATAGAAAAATAAAAAAAAACTCTTTAAATTGTGGAAATCTTTTGGTTATCATTCTATTTTTAAACTCTTGACTAGGTCTTGGAATTTTATATTTTGTTTTACCTTTTTTTTGTCCATTCACTTTTGCATTTGTTGTTTTTCCTCATGTTTGTAAATTTGGTAACATCATTGTTCGTTGCAAATTATGCATGGGGCATATTTTTTTATTCACGTAAAGCTCATCTTCTACTCGTAGTTTCTTTCCCACTCCCCCTCTTAAGATCCTTTTTGAGCTTAAAACTAATGCTTCTCTTATTCTTTTTGTGTTATTACTGGGCTGTTTATTGGAATGACACCAACTTTATATTTTGGCTCTAGGGTTAATTGCTTCTACTTATCTTTGCTTGGTTGCATTTGATCATGGTTTTTCTATCTTCTCTCTCTCAGTCATCTTTTAAATTATTTTACCTTTTTCTTATGTTCCTTATCAATTTTTTTCCCTTAATTTTTGTTTTGTCTATCTGTATTATCTTGTTTGTTTTGAAATCATTTTAATTTAACCCCTATGGCAGGTCATTGAGTGTCTTTCCTACAATGGAAGATTTACCGGCGACCAAACTGACATACTATGATGACATGTGGAAGCTTCTTTCCGCTGCAAGTTTTATCACGCACCTAAAGGTCAACCATTGAAACTGTATGCTGATTACATTTTATTTTATTTTTTTGCTGGCCTATGTATTGCCAACAATATTTTGTCTTGAAAACGAATTGAAAAAGTTTTGCTTTCTTTGTATTGTGAACCTTAGGAGGAAGCTAGAGAGGCTGTTATTTTGGATTCCACCATTTTCCACCCACAGGGAGGTGGACAGCCAGCAGACCATGGTGTTATCGCAAATTCAGAGGGGGACATCAAGTTCATTGTGGACGATGTGAGATTGAAGAATGGAGTGGTAATTCATAACGCGGCTTCTTTTTCTTTGATTAATGTTCATACACTAATCCATTCCTTTGGGTATGGTTTAAAGCCCAAGTGCTAGCAGTATGTTCTGATTTTGGTAACTTTTGGAATAGTATCCTTTGAAATTTGATGTCAATGAGGGATTGATAGTGGCAATTTATATGATGTACATCAAAACCATGTTTATTTATTAACTTCAAATAAACATATTTATTGTACATTCAACCATGTTTATTGGCCCAAGTGATAAAAAACTATCCATTTAAAATTTAACTAATTTCAAAAAATTGTTAAAAACTTTGACTAATTTCAGAAAATTATAATTTGATTAATTTCAGCATACTATTGTTGAATAATACTTCTCCTATCGCCTTTTAATGTTTTATTTTTTATTCGTTTAAGAATTGATTGTTTTAGTGACGTATTGAAGTAGACAAAATTGTACATAGTTTCCAAGAACTGGGTAGTTACAAATAATGTGAAGACAAATTCCTAGGCCTATTGATACAAAAATTGCTTAAATGTTATTAATACCAAAATTGTGGGTTATCAATTGGGGCTGAGCTTTTGGAGTTTCGCTTGGGGAAGGTTAATCCATTGATGAGGAAGTGAGATCGGTCTGTTCCCACCTTGGCTAATAGGTCCGCGGCTTTGTTTGCTTACCTTCATGTGTGCTTGAATGATACACACATGTCAGTGCGAAGTTGTTGTATCTGGTCAGAGATATGTTCAAGATTCCATGGACTAGGAGTATAGGACTAGCCTGGATTTGTTAGCCCATGAAATTGTGTCTGCCGAGTCTCCTCCAACATTGGCCCACCAATTTCTGTTGAAGTTTTGAACTTAAACCAGCAAAGTTAAAGCACTTCCTTCTGTGGAGTTGCAGTGGCATGCTAGTCTGAAGCAGGACAACATGATCCTACCTTGATGGTCCTGGAACTATCCACCTTGGTCAGCAGGTCAGTTCCCTTTGGAACTTCCGTTGAAGTTCAATTTGATCATTCTTCGGTTTAATGGTGATCAGTTTGAGGATCTTAGGTCTTGGTGAGGGGAGGATTGTATGTTGTCCTTCCATTGATTATCTAGGATGATTGGCAAATAACTGACAAATACTTCTCATGTTAGACCCTAGATATTTTGAGTTTTATTCGGTCATTTGTAAGGTTCTTGAAACACTGATTTGGAGTGTTAGGTGATTTTTTTCGGAACCAAATGGACCAGATAATGGTGAGGATGGAGGGCCGCCATAGGGTCTGACCTACTTTTGTTGTTGGAGGCAATATACTGTGTCAAAATATGCTGTCTTCTGTCTTTTTTCTGTACCCAAGAGGTGGAAAAATGCTTTATAAGCCGAGATTAGCTACTTAGTGGTTTTTTGCACCGGAGGAACAAGCGGTCATTTGTTTCCCCTTCTTCCATACACACAGTGCATCTGTGGCGTCTGCTGTGGTATGGGTAATCAACAGTAAGAGTTTGCTTAGGCCTGCTGAACAGTTGAACGCACAAACCTTGGGTGGTGCTTGAATGATCCAAACTGGAAGGCCATTGTCTGGGATGGGTTTTGGTTTGCTTAGGAGTTAAAAAAATGACGAGACAGTAAATATGCTTGAACTCTCAGGGCTCCAAATCATCTTATCTGCTCCGTGGAGGGGGATGTGGCATTGACTTAAAGTTTCGTCAATCTCTGCAGGTCCTCCATAACCTCATTGTTCAGGTTCGGCCTCAAAAGAGGGGTCCAAATGATGTCGCTACCAATGAATTCCACCATTTCTGAAACAAGGGCTTCTTGATCTGTAGCCACTTGGAAAAGTCTACAGAATCCTATTTCTAGAGTAATCTGATCATGCAGTAGGTACCTCCAGAAAGAAATTTTATCACCCATGGCTTTGAGTCCAATGTGCTTGAGAAATTCCTAATGGATGTGGCTGATGCCCTTCCAAACACCTCAAGATGATCTGGTTGAGCTTGTAGTGTGGGTTGGTCTTTTAGAGTGCCAACCCATAGCTCGGTGCCATATTTGTGTTGGATTACTTATGTTGCCATGGGTGATCTTGGTAGACAGCAAAGCACCACCACAACTTACCCAATAGTTCCAAGATTACCTCCCAATTTGGTTTCTTTCTTTAATTTGGTTTCTTTCTTTAATTAGGAACGTTTAATGGGTGCAAGTTGGTGCGAAAGCTAGAAGATGGTCATTTACTAGATTTTAGAAATTTCTTATTAGGAGAAATTGCTCTTTTCTTTTTTATATTATGAGGATTAAGAAAGTTTGACCTTTTTATTTATTTTTATAAATTGGTATTAAGAAACATTGCTTTGAATCCAATTTCCAAATGCTTTGAATCCAATTTCTAGATGCTATTTGAAGATCAATTACTTCATTGGAGTCTAAACATATTGTCAGCATGGGAATTTCATCCTTCACTGTTCTCCTAATTGTTCGTTTAGTTGGCTAGGGCTTAGGACTCTTGCTTGGGCCGAGAAACTTGGGTGAGTTTAAGCATTGTTCTTAAATTTGCTTCGCTTTGGCCTAAGGGGCCGAAGCCTTAGGTTGTTCCCTATGTACCGAAGAAAAGCGAAGGAAAAAATCTAGTGATTCGTCTTGCTTTGATCTCTTCAGGAAGATTCAGGTCTATTTGGCCGGAAAATGCGGATTTGGCCGAAGACCATCTGCTTCAATTCTTATCACTGGGTCAGTATGGATACATGAATTTTTAGCCTTGAAAACCGTTTTGGCTGGAATCATTTGATATCAATGTTAGATTGCAGCTTTCGATCCAAGTTTTCCGATCATGAAAGCGAGATCAAACAAATTACCAATAAATAACAAGAAACCATCAAGGCAACCGAAAATGATCACCAGAAAACTGCACAGTTGGCAGATTCCAGGCAATTATTGCCAGAATGAAGCTCGTGTCAAAGATTTTCCGGCTAAATGATGTATATTTTTTGACCATAGATTCATGTACAAAGGAAATGGGGAAAAAGAAGGAGATTCTGGTGAAACTGATTAGAGCTTAGGTAATGGAGATTCCGGCAAAACTGATTAGAGCTCAGGTGATGGAGATTCTGGTGGAACCAATTAGAGCGTAGGCGATGGAGATTTCGGCGAAACTGAAAAATTCAGAGACTTTCTGGTGGGTTTAGAATAGGGTTCATTCCTCTTTCGCGTTTATTCGAGCACCGAGGTGTCTGCAAATCGATGAAGCACCAAATGATGTACGCAGCTGCCTTAGCCATGTATTGCTTGCTTTTTAACTGGGGTCTGTTTAACCCAACAGTGTAGTTAAAGAGGGCGAAATGATGTAAACACGCCCATGAAATTTGTAATCGGGGCATTTATGATGGGAGGTGTTTTAAAATAAATATATTTTTATATTATTCGAAAAATAAAAAATCTGAAGTCTTCCCCCGAATCAGGCGAAGCATTGAATTGCTTCATTTTTTAGACCAAACAGAAGTAGGCTTTGAAGTGAATCTGACAACATTGAGTTTGAGTGTACGTGCCTAACTCCTGCTTGTGACCACAAAAAGCTGTGAAAAATCACAAAAATTAGGGAAAAATCCCCAAAAAGGTAGCAAAAAAAAATTCATACATCAAAAAGCAAAACAATATAGGATAATTTTTTTTTAATTTCGTGACTATTTTATCTCTAATTTTGCAAAAACTTGTTAATCTTTAAATTAGCTTCAAGTGATTTGAAAGAAACATAATGAAGCTCAGTGTGTCTGAGAGAGAGAAGCTCTGAGGGAAGTGGTGTATGTGTGTGTAAGCGAGAGAGAGAGAGAGAGAGAGAGAGAGAGAGAGAGAGAGAGAGAGAGGTAGTACGTACCTTCCTTCCTTTAGTTGTCACGACACGTAGTAGTGGTGGTAGTAGTACGTAGTACGACGTACGTACGTACGTACGTAGTTAGTTAGTA